ATATATGTTTTAAGCAATATAGCAATATTCATTTTATATACACTTTTACTGAAAAATAATCCCCCCAAAAAAGAGATAGTTACATACTAAAACAACACTATAATGTATTTCACAACAACAAAAGCCTTATCCCACTAAATGGGATTGTGCTCTGCTTATTGTAATGTATTTCATCAAGGGAAAAAATTAGGTGCATTTTTAAGCTGTTTGTTAATAGAATTATGACATGGAAATATAGCAAGACCTAGAAAACATTACCAAGTCTTGTAAATTGCACATTCATTTGTTGATTTAAGTTCTAATTATTGGCAGACTTCAAGGGCAACACTGCCTTATGGGATGCCATAGCATCAAAGCATCACTCCATATTCAGGATCCTCTACCAACTTGCTTGCCTCTCTGATCCACAAACAGGAGGTGATCTCCTGTGTACAGCAGCAAACAGAAATGACCTAACAATAATGAGTGAGCTTTTGAAACAAGGATTGAATGTGGACTCGAAAGATCGCCATGGTATGACGGCAACAGAAGTAGCCATGGCAGAGAATCATGTGGAAATGGTTCAGCTGCTTGTCATGAATGGGGCAGATGTTTCTGGCATACAAACTCATAATTTCTCTGCTTCTGCATTGAATGAAATGTTGCGAAAGTGCGAGACCGGGCATCGGATCACAATACAGGAGGCCGCACCCAATGAGAACTTAATGTGGGGAGATGAAGGTGAGCAGAGGAGCAAAGTTGGGGAAGATGTAGTAAATCAAGCTTCCCAAGAGTGAGTATATATAGAGGCCACCCCATAAACAGAAGAGACAAAAACTGCAAGGAAGCTGGGAGGCTCATAAGGTTTCCTGATTCACTTGAGGAGCTCAAGAGAATTGCAGGTAAATCTTCAAGTTTCTCGCTAGCAGACAATCTCATTTGTTATTTATTTCTTTCTAAAAGCGCATGCTAGAAATCCATTGATATGCTATCTACTTACACTAATATATAAATTTTTTAGGAAGACATGTTATATGACTTAAATTTGAATTATTTGAAATTAAATCTAAATGAAAATATATCAATATATAAGTCATGAACAACATCATTCACCTTAAACTTTGTGCAATGCACAGGTAAATATATCTAGTTATGATGAAGACTAATCAGGAACTCCTTAATAGTATAAGAAGTCGAACTGCTCATTTATATGTATCTTAGCCTGTCTCACCAAGTGTTAGTGACATTATAGGCACCATCTACGAGAATGGTGTCTTAGTTTCTTTGTCATCTTTGGTTTTTTGTGATTTTGTTCTTCTTTGGCCTCTCCCTTAAAAAACCAAATTCAGTGAAAGATAATGATGGACTTGTATTTTGCCCATACTTATCAGAGAGTATATTGGGAATTATATAAGTACTATGCATTGGTTTTATTTCGATGATTTAAACTTGAGAGATGAATTCATCTCTTACTATAAATTGTTCAATTAAGATATTGACTTTTCTTGTGGATCTCATCATCTTCAACAGGTGAGAAGTTTGGGTTTGAAGCAAAAGATGCAATGGTGACAAATGAAGAAGGAGCAGAAATAGACTCCACTGAAGTGATTAGGGACAATGATAAACTTTTCATTGTTGATAGCAAAAAATAAAAAGTAATGTAAAATGTGAACTGCCTCATATTTGTTGAATGGCTCTGGCCAGGGACTTCTCATCCTTCACTTTCAAACCTGAAGGACATGTCTCTCATTTCGAAAAATGAAAATATATATATATTTGTGAATAGTCTCTCATAATAGCATTATATGGGTTTTCTTTGTCCTGTTTCGATCTTTTCTTGCCTTCCACTTGGGGGAAGAAGTTGTTTTCCTTGAAAAGATTTTTCATTATGAATTATTGTTCATAATTTATCACATTTATTTTGATTTAAAAAAATAGGGTCTGTTTGGAAAAATCTTAGGCCTGTTAAAAAAGTTACAGTTGTGCAGTAGGTGCTATAATAGCATTGCTGTTTTGGAAAAGTAAAACCAGTGTTTGGTAAAAATATTATAAAAAACACTTTTGAAAAGAAAATTGGTTGATTAATTTTTTATAATGTTTTTCTGAAGTTGTGTAAAAAACAATAACGCAAATATCCTAGAACCATTTCTATAAAGCACTCTAAGAGTTGGCATAACAATTTACATTAACCTTTTTTTTATTTCATCTTCTAGTATTTTAAAAAGTTTGAAAATATTATCACTTAAGTTAATTCAATTACCTCACTTAGTTAAATCAAACGTCAACAATTAGGACCGCTTTTGATGCAAAATATGCGATTGATAAGAAATAAACAGGTAAGCCCCATGGTTAAAATTTAGCCCACTATTATGTTTATATGCTTAATTATGTGGACAACATGATGAGAAGATTCAGATGAGGGAGAATGACAACTAAGTGCTACAGGATTAATTAATTCAATTTAAATCCCACTAATTTCAAAATACTTAATTTTTTTTTCTTAGTTCATGTGTTGTAGATAAAAATGCATTATATTTAAAAAATGGAGATAGTTATTTCCTTAAAAAAATTCTTTAATACTTCTTTCTTACCATATTATTGGACAAGGGTATAGGGGGAACTTAAAATAAATAATTAAATGCTTTTTAAATAAGATGGAGGAAGTACTATTAAACTATAACTATTTTAATGAAAAAAATGCTTACTCTTTTGATCTTATTTATAAGATAGAAAGAAGATTAATTTTAATTATATTTATAATGTACTTTGCTAGTTTCTATGGTTATATTTATTTTTTTATCCTTATTAAATGTTAAAAAATTATTTAAAAACAATTCTTTTTATCCATTTTAAGAGTAGAGAAAGAAACTTATTTAATTTTAAAATAAAATTAATAAAATTTAAAAATTTTTTTAATTCGAATAAACATATTAAAAATAATTTATAAATATAAAAAAAAGTATGAAAATAAAGTAGGATGAGATGAGACAGTAAAATATTGACAGAGGGACCAAGTTCCCTGAATAATTTAATTGATATGACTTTGGTTGAAGAGTATATTAGGGCTTGAAATGAGCAAATAATTGAACAAGGTTAATAAAAGTGATGTCATATCATGATAGCTTAGTTTGATTTTGGTTGGGTGCATTGTATTCTCGTTTGAAATTGAGCCCTTCCTCTTCGTATTATTTCAATGATTATGACTCTTAAAAGCTTTAATCAATCTGGGGAATGTAACCAATACACTCTATCTAGGAATTGTAACCAGAAAGCCACTCTTGCTTTTGTTTTATTTATTATACTGCTACCAGCAGGGCATATCAGGACAAATTAGTATTCGATTTTTACATATGTTCAGTTAAATTAGAATGTTATATAAAAAAGAAAAATTTTACGTAAAAGTTGGAATTTTAGCTTTTATTAATGAAAAAATAATCTTGAAAAAATTATTCATAAGTAAAGCTAATAATACTCAAATATAATATAATAATATTAAATATTATATCGATAGAAAAGGCTAATCTTTCGTAACATGATGAAATAAGTTTTAAATTTTTACACGAAAAAGTGTTCACATGTTTCAAATAGAATTTTTTTTTTATAAGAGAACACCTAAATGCAATAATAAATACTCCCTTCATTTTTAAATGTAAACAAATTTTAATCAACTCGCACACAGTTTAAAAAAGATAGTTAAATATAATAATTATATCTTAAATTAAAAATTTTGGACTAAATAATTAATGAAATAAGTTTGTCTCATGAAAATAAATTTTAATTTTGTGAGGTGGAATTTGAAAAAATGTAATAAATGTTGCTTAAATTTTATAGTTTTGTTTAATAATAAAAAATAACAAAGCATATAGTAATTTCTCGTGTAATAAAAAGCGCAGGAAGTATCATATAACCTTATTAAAAAGGATCATATTTATATTTTGATATTCATTTTATTACTCACATCTTAAAAATTACAAGACGAGTTCAACTCTTACTATTGACCAAAGAAACTTGTTGATAAATAATTTATGAATATCACTCTATAAACACCCTTTGAATGTGATACTTGTTTAAACCTTGATAAATCTTTACAGTCCAGCTCATTCCTAGAAAAAGAATTACATTTAGAAATTAATCCCAGCACTTCCTAATTTAAAAAATAAAAAAAATATATTTTTAAAAATTAGAACCAGATCATTCACTTGTCCCAAGCACAGAAAGCCATGGCAAATTTAGCAATGATCCGTAAACTATAAAATTATATGTATGTGGTGACATCTCTCCAAATGCGGTAGAGAAAACATTGTAAATATTATCATAAAATTTGATAGTTTTTAAGAGTACAAATTAATCTATAACGTTAAAATATGATTAAATACTGAAAATATAGTAAAAATAATTACAATAGAAAGAAATCAAATCCATAGCACACGCTCAAACCTTCAATCTAATCTGTGAAGGATGGTCCACACAGGAAATTCCATCCTGTTTTGTGTTCCATAGAATCTTTGGAACATGTCTGACATCATATATGTTAAGGATACCATAATAACTAATTTCATATATTTTTGCATAATCTAATTCATGATCTGTGAACAATATATAATTTTCTATTGTAAATATACCAATATTTCATGCAAATGAACCTTCTTTAATTTAATGCACAGAATAGAATGTTGGAACCTAAAGCAGAAAGAATCTGTACAGTAATGTGTAAAATACTGCCTGCCACTTCGCATAACTCATCATTCTCTTCTCCTTTAATAACAATAAAAGAATAAAGCTGCGTACAACTTTTCTTAGATGTTCCTGTACACGAGTGTTGTTGCTAGTGGAAAGGTTATGATTATTTAACCAAGAGATCTTGAATTTGAATTTAAATTTGTGTAAATGCAAGAAATATTTTTAAAAAAATTATCTCTAAATGAACTTAACAATATTCAAATCTTATTCAATCAGATAACAATATTAAAAAAAAAAAACATAAAGGTTGCTGCTTAAAAACATAGGGAAGAGCGAGAAAGAAAGATCAGAGAAACCGAATCAAAATGGAAACATGAGAAGCAGAATCTTTGTTAAAGTAGTCAAACTTTTGCACCCAGGAAACATAATCTAACATATCCTATTTAAAAGAGCTTCATGAATGTTCATTTTCCTTCGTGCCATTTTTACCCAACTGAGTCAGTCCTTGAAGCTGAAGGAATAATTAACTACAAAGGGAGGGGGAAAAAAACATTTTAGTTTTCATTCTGCACATCTTTTTTCCCCATGACTTATCTCTCTAAGACACTTCTTTTTCTTTTGTTTTCTCTTTGCCTCACTTTACCAGGATACAGCCAGCCCGTTTCACAATAAAAACAGCAGATTCTCAATCATCCCCTCCACTGTACAGGAAACACCCATGATTGCACCCAGCAGCATCTTGATTTCCCCATGGAAAACCTCTGCTATTAAGCTACCAAATTCTTTGATTCTTTAACCTTCCAATTATATATATATATATACACCCATCAATCTTCGTCACTTTTCTTCCCCGCTAGACCCTCTCTCTCCTGTTTTTTTTTTTTTTTTAACTTCTATATTGTCCTACCCTCGATAATACTGATGGGTTCTTCATGTAACCCCTCTTCTGTCAATGGTTTCTACAACTTTCTTGCACAAGGACTCGATGAGCTTCACCAATCCTTCATTTCCCATAACTTCATGTCAGTTCAATTCCTCTCAGAGGTGCTCTCATCTCTCCGATCCTTTCATTCACAGTTAACAGTTTTGGTACAAAAGCTTCGCTTACCAGGTGGAGGAAAATGGTTGGATGAATACATGGATGAAAGCTCAAGGCTCTGGGATGCTTGTCATGTCATGAAATCTGCCATTTCTGGAATGGAAAATTGCTGTTCAGCTGCCTCCACTGTTGCTTCCTCACTGGATACCTACCAGCATCTCACTCCAGAGATTTCACGTCAGGTTAGTAATATACAGAGATTCATTTCAGATATCATACCCCGGAGGACGCCATGAATGCTTTGGTTTTGAAAAATGGTCCTGTTTCATTCTCTTGTCCATTTTATCTTAACTTGCATCAAGTCAAAAAAATTTATGAAAAAAACATCACTTTCTTAAAGGTACACCTGCTAATGGTTACACCCTACTAGTGAGTTACAAATGTTAAAGACACAATTCATACAGAGAAATAAGTCAAAGATCACGTATTCTTTTCAAGAACTGAACTACATATTTACTCAAGAAATTTTCTTAACTTGCATCAGGCCAAAGAAATTTATAAAATTTCATCATTTGGTTAAAGATATACCCCTTACAGCCTTGTTGAACATGTTTTCCCTCACATTTTACAGACTCTGAAGGAAAAAGTTAAGAGCATTTGTATAAATTTTATATTATACAGTGATATATTTGATGTTTTTAAAAATAATTCATTGAGAAATAAATCTCGCACCAGGTTTTTTTTTTTTTTTTAAGAACCAAACAGTATATTACTCAAGAATTTTTGTCATGGGTATTTTCACAAACAGGTTATCCGCTCAATAAACATATACCAGAGGGAAATTCTAGTACTGGAAGAGGAAAACAAGAGCTTAATGGAAACAAGAATTCAACCATTGTCTCTGTGCCTGAACCAGAACATCCCAATGGAATCAAAATTAAACGGTTTCAGTGGGTTTCGAGGTGTTCTTCACGCAATGAGGAGTGTAAGTTCATTGCTTCTGCTGATTCTTCTTTCTGGGCTCGCTTACTGCTGGTCTGCCTCCTTCTTTCAACAACGCGACACGGAAGAACACTCAGGATTCGAATGTGGGTTGATGGATTCAATGGCTAGACTGGAGCAAAAAGTGGGAGAAGAGATAGAACAGAACGAAGGACAAAGTGGGATTTTGCTGTTCGAGTTTCAGCAAGCGAGGATTGCCATGGAGGAATTGAAGGAAGCATTGGAGAGAACAAGAGAGGGACGTGAAGGATTTGAGATTGAAGAGAAAGTTGAGAAGTTGAAGAGCTGGATTGGGATGTTGAGATGTGGGGTTGAATCCATTGCAGGACAGACTGATGATTTGGTTGATGAAATAGTGCAAGGAAGGAAGAAGCTTTTGGACATGTCTAGTTATATGTAGACTGAGACGAAGATAACAAGGAGAAAAAAAATTGCTTAACAATCATTTTTATTTTTTTTTATCTCATTTATTTGTTTTAATTTGCTCCATTTTCTGTTCTTTTAGTTACTATTTCAGTTTTTTTTTATAAAATATTCATTTTCCATTTTATTATGTTCTATTACTACAAAGTGCAAGCGGGTTGGTAGTCAATAGATAAATATGTTGCAAATAAAAATATGGAGAAGTGAAGAGATAAGATTAGTGGAGAATCATACTGAAGATATGATATTTAAATACAATAAAAGTTCATGAAATGCATAAATATCTATGAAGTAAAACAAAAACAAAACAATAATTAGCCTAACCATTTATTGCCAATTAGCGAAACTCTGGTCGTTTACGATTACACCAATCATTAAACACTATTGATTGTCACACAAACTTCAAGTTTAAAGTTTTATTAAGCACTAAATATGAATATATTTTTTTAATGAAAATTTAAATTTTAATTTATCAAATTGTGCTAAACCAACCCAGTGGGTCTAATCACTACTTGTAACTCTAGTGAATAGTTGTTTTTTTTTTTTTTTCCTTTGGGTAACACTAATGACTAATTAATTATGGAAAAAAGTGGTCATGATGGCATGATAGAAATAGAATCCAAGACCACTTGTTTTTAAAAAAATTAACCAAAGAGTGGACGATTGATGCATTTTAACAATATATTATAAAATATTATATATGAGTAATAACTAATTTTCAAAATAAAGATAAATATTTTGGACATCTATAAATAACAACTTAATTATATTAGTAAATAAAATATTTGAATTTCAGTAAATAACAACTTGAGTGTATAAAAATAACATATTAATTTTTTTGGTACAAAATAACATACTAATTTTATGTAAATAACAATTAAATATTATGTAGATAGAACTTGGGTTTCGATAAATAACCAATTAATTATAAGGAAATATTGATTTGACTTCTGGTAAATAACAACTTGGATTTCTATATTTAATTTATATAAATAATAAGTTAATCATCAATCTCAATCTTATATCTAAAAGTTGGATAATAATAAACAATATATGAACAGTGTCATTCTCGTTTTGTCCTCCTAAACTTTTACGAGAATGACAGTTGTGTCCTAGACACTTAAACTAATAATAATTCCGTTCCCGACAAATTTTTTTAAAAACTAAGTTTAAAACATCAATCAAAATAATTAAAATTTAAGAGTTTTAATTATAAATAATTATTTAAATATTAAATTTAATTTTTTAGATAGTAACAGAAATTTATATTTGAACTGTTTGAACTAATATTTATAATTTATTTTTAAAAAAATTTATGAAAAACTTAGTTATTATTAATTGAATTTTTTTAGAGTTGACTGTCATTTTTCCTAAACCTTTTCTTCCTCTATAGCTTTGTTATTCTTTGGGGAAAATCATAACCAAGGACCCTAGAAAAAATATTCACTGCTGAGAGCTAATAAATTCTGATTTAATACCCTAGTACTTAGGGTTTTAACTGTAATTAATTATAATTGTGAAAATGTGTTATTGCCCCGAGTGTTTAAAGCCGTTTCTATTGACATAACTAAGTATATTCATGTTACGAAAAGTCACCATTTATAAAATAACAACACTCTGTTTTATTTACTAAGAAATAATTCTCATAGTAACAAGTCCAAAATAAAGTCATTTCTATTGACAAAACCAAGTGTGTATATGTGGTAATCAAGTCACATTTGCAAAATAACAACACTCTAATTCATTTTAATAAGAAATAATTCCTATAATAACAAGTTCAAAATAAAGCCATTTTTATTGATAAAACGAAGTGTATTCATTCATATAGTAAACAAGTCATCATTTGCAAAATAACAACTCCATTTCATTTCAACAAGAAACAATTCTTATAGTGACAAATTCAAAAGAAAGCAATTTTCATTGATAGAATCACGTATATAAATCTAATGAACAAGCCACTATTTACAAAATAACAATACTTCATCACATTTTAATAAAAAAATAATTTCCTTATAATTTATCCAGAATACAGTTAGGGACAATTGCATATTTCGACAATCACAATTAATTACAGTTAGAAACTTGGGATTTCAATGTTAAATCAGAATTTATTGATTCTTAATTGTGAATATGTTTCTCCAAGGGTCTTTGGTTGTGATTTTCCCTTTTCTTTGCTATTAGTGAATCCCACTGTTATCATATTTTTCTTAAAACAAATTGGATGGATGGATATCAATTAATACTTTTTAACACATCCTTGGATCCTCTGGCCATTTTTCAATATTATTCTTTCTAATTTTTCCATCAGCGGTTTTGTTATTTCACTTTTATTTTTGGGAGTTTTTTTTCTAATTTTCTTGAGTCTAATTTCGTTCATATAACTTTTATCATAATATTACTTTTCAAGACGCCACACCTTAAAACGCCATCTTATAATTTGAATTGGATACCAAATAAATAGAAAAGTAGTAAATTATTGTCCTAAATTTCCATGCATTGCACAGGTGTTAAGTCTGATTTACTCCCTCCATTGAATATTATAATTAATTGAATTATACCCACAATGAGTTAGTTAATTATATTTAAAATTACATACTCTTTTCAAGTTTATTTTTATTTAATAAGGTGTCTCAATGAAAAAATTAAGGCTATTTTTATTAATTACATCATCTAATTAAGGCTATTTTTGAAAAAAAAAACCATATTAATGGTACCTTGACTTGCGCTAATCATAATTTATATTTTTTAACATGGTATTTTAAAAAAGTGCCTTATTATATTGAAGGGAAGGAGTGTGTAAATAACAAGTTAATTTTATATAAATAACAACTTAATTTGTACCAATCATATATCAACTTTGAACCTAGGGGCACTAGCTAGGTTCAACTAGTTGAGGAAATTAAATCAACTTATCATAAAATTTTGAGTTTGAATCTTAAAATATGCAATCATATTTAAATAAATATATTAAAAGCATTCTCGAGGTATCCATGAAGCTATCATTGATAATAATAGTCTCATATAGCAAGAGTTTCAATTACTCTGAGCAAGAGATGGTAATACCTCCAAGTTTTCAAAATCAAAAAAAAAAAAAAACAAATTTGTAAGATAGCAAAAAAAAAAAAAAATACATGAGTAGTGGTGAAGAAGATGAAAGCAAGAATGTGAAGTTAAGCAAAAGAAAGTGAGAAAGATGAGTAAGAATCCAATGCAGTACCCTGAAACAAAGACAAATGCTTGAAGACTGTTTGTTGATTACAAAATGGATGATGATAGATATTATTGGATGCATGTGTTGCTTTCAGCGTCCAAAGAATCTAATGCCTCAAATTGGAAATTACTGAATCAACCAAATTCTGTTATAAATAAAGTTGTGGAGGATAAAGATATTCTCCTTGTTCGGATGCAACACTATCCAACTTCAACATGGCGGAGTGTTTCTCAAGATTGGTCTTTGATGCCTGTGAATTTCATACTATATGTTAATATATTATCATTATCGTTATTATTAGTATTATTATTATTAATTTGCAGAATAAGTCTACAACATTGGTGATGCAGTGATATCTAGAAGCCCACTGAACTCTCTTTTTAATGGGAAGAGATCATTGCTTTTTTTGGATTAACATATAATTTTTTTTTTTTATTAATAGATCGTCTCTTTCATCAAGTCTCTAACTGATAATTAGATGTTAACAATGTTAAAAAATCTTGAATTGATCACTAAACTCAGAATATTACATCATTCATCATCAAGATGCTCAAGCTGTGTACGTGGATATTCCTCCTATGGTGTATAAAATAATTATCCTTGAAATAAGGTACTGAAAAATCAGATCGGCCATAAACTGATTGAGACATTGATTCAAAAATTAATAATCAAAATTATAATCAAATCATAATCAGATCCATCATATAAATAAAGCATTTCATTCAACCGATCAATGCCAATGATTTGCTAATTCAATTAGTTAGATTAACCCGATTCAATATCATGCTTTGAATATTTCTATTCTCGCGCACGTGAAATTACCTTTCAATCCCTTGTGTGTTTGCTCGCGCGCCCGCGTGTTTTAGTTGTTACACCATTCATGAGTCTCACTCTCACAACTAACATATCACCAATCTACATTTTAACGACAACCAAATAAAAAAATCCATGGCAAATTGCACTATATGCAAAATGTAAATAGTAGAAGGCATTTTTCAAAGTCTATGCCACAAGAAAACAGGTAATTCAATTGCAACTGAACAACTGTTTGTTAGAGAAATGGAACCACATTTTTGTTGGCTCTTGATCCCTTTTCTCTTATAATACATTTTAGGGTCCGATGAGCTATAGACCAGTTGCACTGGTTAGTCCAACCCAGTCTGCTCAATTAGGATATTTAAGATGAGACTTGCATTAAATTAATTCACAACCTCAGCATCTTCACTGTGTGTGTGTATGAAGGACCAAACAAATTTTAACAAGCTTTGGGATGACATTTCTAAAGAATCGCAATCTGGAATCCACTCCAGCAAACATGTACCAAGCAGCAACCAAGTCTTTTTTCATTTCTCAAAATGTAGAGGCTGGAGGAAGGAACTGCTTGCATCATTGATGACTACAGAGGGAGGAAAATCACTGGCTGCTCCTTCCAAACAAAATTCACCATTGCAACTTGAAACGGTGTGACTCTGGCATCTGAATTAATTGGCTCAAGAAAGCAAAATCACAATGCAAAATCCTAGAATGAAGAGTCACACAAATTAGGAACTTGAATTGAAGTGGGAACATCCCTATACTAACACAGCACCTCATCTCTTATACCCAATCACCTAGTGGGCTAGTGGTATAAGGCTTCTTCTTCTTCTTGTTGTGATTTGAGGAATCCAATCAGAATCCTCTACATTCACAAAAATAAACACATATAGTGCATTTGGAAGGAAAACAGACCAACAAATAGAGAGAGATGATAAACATAAAGAAAGAATTGACTCAATCATATTGTTTTGCGTCACATCTCTACAAATACATAAATGCATGAATATAGAGAATTTTATTTATGATGATGAACCTCCAACTGAAAATTATTGGTGTACTGAACTCTGAAAAGTTCTAGTTCAATATGGGAGGTTTCTCTTGAATCAAAATCTAATAATATGAACTAACAAGTCAGTCTCTCGGTAATGGTCTATTTCACTTCTAAACTCAAATCACCTTGCCTACAATATGATCACAACATTATATAAGCAAACATCAAGTTTCAATATCATCACAGCATTTTACGAATATATACCAATACCAATATACTATAACATCTTGACTACATTTTTTGCGTCGACTGCAGTTTACTACCTCAATTTTTTCCCATCAGTCAGAACATGGTCCCGTCACAGGATGCCACATGAAATTAACACACACACACACACACACACATATACAAATAACCGAAGAAAAAAGTCAAATTGATCAGTTTACACTACCACAAAAGATTTCTTTGGGTCAAAGAGATTTGTTGCCTTTTCCTAAACAAGAATTCCAACTTGTTAAAATAAAAGATTTGGGACATGTATTGCTAAAACTAATCCCAAAACCTGTGGGGGACAAAGGTTACCAGAAAAAAATGGATCAAATAGGCAAATTGCCAAGTTTTTAATACAACAGGGTCATTTCCACTACCCCTAACAGGTGGCAAGTTGAAAAAAAATTACTCTAATTTCCCCTTACTGAATCAGTCCAGCCCACTTCGACAACAAAACTAAAATGATTAAAAAGGCACCTTGAAAAGTGTAATTATTTTATTCCAACTAGCATAAAAAAATTAGAGCTTTATTCATAAGGAGACCAACTGACTTGTGTAAATTGTTGAAAAAGATTAGACTGACTTGTGTAAATTTTACCCAAGAAAATTACTCAAAATCGCTTATTTACATCTTTATCTATGTATTTGACAACTTAAACAAAGTATGAAATGATAAACTGCTAAAACTGACAATAAAGTTATCCATAAAGACAATAATGTTGAGAAGGTATGATAGGATAACATAAATTCCAGGATCAAAGACCGGGTAGAAAATTCAAGGCATCTGACCTTGCAATATCAACTCTTATTATGGACTTCGGTTGGTTGGTCAAGAGGCCCTTTCCCAACATTTGAAATAGTCAATATGCTGTCAGTGCCATCGGCAGACAAGGTTCCTCCATGGTGAAAAGATGCTTGATTATTGAAAACATCCTCAACAGTAGTACACTGCTCTGTGTACTGTCTGTACCACATTATGCATCATAACCTAAGAGCAGCCTAAAATGCCAAGGAGCTCTCCATCCCCATACGTTTCCATGTTCAAATGTCAAAACCTGGCATTGCAAATTGAGCTGCAAAGGCCTCAACCCGTGCTTGGAGCTCAACAACGTCCTTGTTGCTCTCAAGATCTTTTAAGACAGCCTTCTGCAACTTCCCATAATCTCTCTGCACTATATTGGCGATTTTTGCAGCTCTATACAGAAATTCAGCGATCATTTCAAAATCAGTCTCCAGACATCCTCTTGAAGTCATGGCAGGGGTACCTGAGTAAGACACGATAAAGCTGTAAGAATGTATGACTATACACCAAGCATAAGAGAAGACTAAAAAATTTAATGAAATAAATAATCACACACCTATCCTTACACCTCCAGGAGTTATAGCTCCATTATCACCAAAGATAGCAATTTTATTCAAAGTAATATGACACATCTCGCATATCTTCTCATAAAATTTACCTGAAAAGACAAATAAAATATGCTTAGGTCTTGTCCCAATTTATAAACACAAAAAGTTTCCGAATTAACAAATTGTTGATAAAATCATACAGAGAGGAGCAATCAACAAATCAACAAAAGGGACAAAAAAATAGCTCCATGTGAGAAAGTCTAATAACACTTCTAGACAAGTGCAAGCAACAATTTCATAATTAAATAAGCAAATTGATTCATCTAGATCCAAGCATCCTCAACTACATGCCAAAAAAGCAATCACATAACTGTAATGCCAAAGAAATTAGGTGGGTTAGGGCACCAATACAATGCCTCAACGGTGTTCAGATGGTAGCCTGAGGTGTGAGGCACCAGAAGTACCAACATCTGTTTTCCAGTAAATTAGAGTGGGCCCAATGCAAATATTAGCCCCACTGTTCACACAACTCCCAACACTTTTTATATCTGATATTGATGATTTATAAACTATCCTCGTTTAAAATACAAAATAACCATTAACCAATAGGCACATATAATAAATGGGTATTTCAGTCAAAGAGGCAACCGAGAACTAAATGAACAGGAAAGTGGCATCATCCTATTTGTGAAAGCCTTTAATGAAAGATAAACAAAATGAAAGTCACAAACCTTAAATCGCTGCAATATTAAATAACAAGACAGAAATGCAATATTCCATGGTGTGCCGCATCAAAAGTTATAACGCAAGTAAACAAGAAATCAAATCAAGTACTGATAACATGCATGTATCGACTTAACTGACATAACTAACAAAATATTTTCAAAATATATGTAGGAGACAATCATATGACATACCTGTCAATCCTAAAGGCCTTAAATCCCAAAGTACTAGATGGTTGTCTGTACCCCGTGTTACTAGGCGGCATTTTCTTCTCAATAAAGCAGATGATAAAGCTTGGGCATTTCTCTTCACTTGCTGCATGTAGGCCTTGTACTCAGGAGTAGCCACTTGTTTTAAAGCTATGGCAAGAGCAGCAATATGGTTATTGTGTGGGCCCCCTTGCAAGGATGGGAAAACAGAAAAGTTTATCTTTTCTTCAAGGTCATATTGTTCGCTTTCATATCCCTGACTTACAAGTATCCCTCTCTTCCTTGGTTTGGTACCCTTCCTATAAAAAATTATGCCCCCCCTGGGGCCTCGAAGACTTTTGTGAGTTGTTGAAGTAACAATATCACAATAGTCAAAAGGACTCACACATTCCTGAAAAGAACACAAAGCCAAATTGATAAGTATCTCTTCAACGTTGAAAGTGCAACTACTACTAGTTTATAGTGCAAGACAAAAATGGAATTAGGCAAGCCAATATACACTCACAGGAAGTTTACTTTTTACTTTATATAGAAATAGATCTTATATCAGCTTAAACATTAGAATCAATACCAAATTTGGATTCAAAAAACACTTTTCAACGGAATATAGGAATCAGATATTCTGGATTCTAAATTTTACTGTCAAAATTTTGATTATATACTGTACACTTTACATTGGTGCAATTTAATGAAACTGAATCCATAATATTGTTAGCTGATATGTCAAGCGTATGCCTAATTCTGAATCTGCCACAATCTTTTTTATAATTTGGGATGAAGATGGTTCCCAAATTTCAAAGGAGACTCTTCTGTTTTATAAAGCACATTTCTTTCATAAAGATTTGTTTTCCTCATCATTCGTGATGTTGCTTCCCTCTGACAAAGCTCTTTTTTCATATTTAAAAAATAATAATAAAAATTCATATAGAATCTTACGCCAATTTCTGTTGTAGCTTAGTTAATTATGTAGGTCACACACTTAAATTGCCAATGTAGAAACTCAGATAAGAGATAATAAAACAATTATTGTCACTTTCAGCACAAGAAAACAGAATGAATAACAGAAATTGCATGCAGAGACTATTGACATGTAATCATATATTTACATAATCAAATTCATATTATTAATTTGCAAGCTGATTGCCTTTATCTTAATTTTGTACACTTATTTTAATATGGACTTCCTTTCAAACTTGACACTCTTAGAGCAGCTACAAATTTAATGGCATCAGGCAGCAAGTTGCACTCTAAGTAGGCTTTTTTGACATTTTTGGTGAACCTTAGGATACCCTTAAAAACACAGAGCAGTTTGTATTGATTGAGCTCAACAATTTGGCTGGAATAAGGATAAAGTTAATTTATGGATAGTATGCCATCCATAGGTGCCTTTTTTTTTTTTTTTTTTTTTGCTTCTGCACAAATATTCTCCTATTAGAGGCAATCATATTCGAGACACAATCAACAATTAAATGTAGGCACTTCTCCTGGCAAGGTTTTGAACCTTAATTTGCCATGTTGTGAAGGATTACACCCAACCCATATTGTTTGTCCTTAGGTGCCTTTGTTTAGAATGGAATGCCCAAACTTCTAAATAGTGTCCTCTGTAGAATTGAACCATGATTGAAGAGATCCTTTGTCACACTTCCATTCTTTGACAGCTGTTGGTTAGCGGATCTTTATATCCCCTGTTTTCACTAATTAATTTTTTACTTCATTCAACACCAAATTCAGTTATAAATTCTAGCCAATCCAAGAATGGAGGCATAACACTAATAGCTTGGGAGAAGCACTTTCTTTCACTGCCACAAGATTAATAACTGCCAATAGTGCACAAAAGGATAACTTCCTCTGCATTCTCTACTATCTTTACTGTTCACAAAAGAGGGATCAGGTGGAAGGGCAGATGGTTAAAAAGAGTAACTAGGAACTACCACCAGTACCAACAATGCAAGCAGCCACTACCAATCTACCATTATGCTATGATGCAGTCAAAAAGAAGATTTAATTTGCAATGCAAGAAGACAGTGCGAATGAACTTTCCAATGTAATCGTCAACAAAGTACAGCCAATAATTCAATACTAAACTACCGGGAGTAAAGAATTTCATACCTTGGTTGCAATAAGCCCACTAATCTGGGCCATATCGCACATTAACACGGCTCCACATTTATCTGCAATATTCCTAAATCTGGCATAATCCCACTCTCGAGGATATGAGCTCCCACCACAAATAAGTATCTTAGGACGAAAATCAAGCGCCTTTTCCTCTAGTTTATCGTAATCAATATAACCCGTTTGAGGATTCACCTTGTATGGTAAACTCCCAAAGAATATTGACGCCCCTGAAACTTTCTTTCCGTTTGGAGTATAGTAACCATGACTAGTGTTCCCTCCGGATGGCGTATCCAACCCCATGATACGATCACCAGGCGACAACAATCCCGTGTATACAGCAAAATTCGCAGAGGTACATGAATAAGGTTGCACATTCACGCCCCAACTTTTAGGGTCCAGATTGAATGCTGCCAATGCGCGTTCACAAGAGAGCGTTTCAATCGCATCAATATATTGATTCCCTCCATAATATCGCGCACCCGGCATTCCCTCTGAATATTTATTCGTCAAATGGCTTCCAAGTGCTTCCATCACAGATCGACACACAAAATTCTCCGAAGCTATCAATTCAATCCCTTTATACTGCCTTATTTTCTCATTCTCCATTATCTCATAAATGTCAGGGTCCGCAACTTGTAGGGATTGATTACCCCATGATCGAACAGCCGCTCTCCGCGCCTCGAGATTGGGGTCCAACGAAACCCACTTGGAAGAAATGGAAGACGATGAGGATGATTCGCTATCTCTTCGCCTCTTCAAGCACATCGAATGCCCGAGGATACGAAACTCTTCGACCTTCTTATCTTCATCTTCATTGGACTCTACCGCCGAGTTCCCATTCTCCGCTTTGTGATTATCCGTCAGCGGCTCCAACAACTGAAGCGGAACCGGAGGAATCGGGAGCGAGGGATCACAAAAGCTTGAGTCGAGCTGAAGAGAGATGGAATCGCCGGTTATCTGGGTCCGTTGAGGCGGCGAAGCATGAGAAGAAAAGCCAAGAGACAAATTTGATTGCGAATGGAATATGTCCATCAAAAGCCCAAAACAAAACCGATCCTTAATCCCCCAAATTGTCGAATTCTTCTCAGATTGAAGAAACAAAACTTATATGTACAAGTAAATCCGACGACAACCACAATATCTCCTAAGAGCAACAGTAACAGCAACAGATACATCGACAAGGGGAGTTGAAGAAAGTGCAGTGACAGTACCGGTAAATGGAATCGATGTAGCAACGAAAACGCATTATCGACGATATAACACAACGAGAGGGGACAAGAGAACCCAAACCCCAATCGTTGATGGTCAATGGAAGAACATGGCAATGGACGAGATCATGAACATGCTAGGCAAGGCTTGTGCTTGGCGTGGGATTGACGAGGAATGCACTCGGACGTTGCTATTTGCTGGTTTGCAATGTTGTGGCGCGTTGCGACTGGTTGGCGGGCTTGACGCTGTGAGCTGGCGATATTTTTTTATTTCCCCCTCTTTTTACCGGCGAATAAATTGGCGGTTGATGAATTTTTAATTTTTTTATTATTAATATTTTATTTGAGGTCCAAAAAAATTGATATTGAGATAATTTGATTTAATATAGTAATCCATATTAACGCCATTCATGTTAAATTTTTTAAAAACATAATCTTTTAATCCTTCAACTTTTAACTCACTTGTAACTCAATTCCTCAATTATGACTCGTTGTGACTCAATCTCTCAACTATAACTCGCTACAACTCAATCTCTCAACTTTTGATTCACCTATAACTCGATCCTTATTTTTTAATTTTTTAAAAAAAATTTCTTATCAAATATGAGGGATAAAAAAAGCTCATATATTATTTTAAAATATCTTCCACTTGCTCATTGATATGAGATATAAGCTAATATGAAAAAAATTAACAAAAGTTTAAGGATTAATTTATAAGTAATTCAAAAGTTGAGAAACTGAGTCATAGGTGAGTTATAGTTGAAAAATTAAGTCACAATGAGTCATAATTAAGGAACTAAGTTATAAGTGAATTAAAAATTAAAGGATTAAAAAATTAATTTTTTTAATTTTTTTTATACAAATATAAAGAATAAGCTTCCTCACAACTAAAAAAACAAACAAACAAACAAACTCTTTCTTGCATTACCAAGGGTAATGGGTAAATATGATGTTGGTGCCTTTTTGCGATACTTACTGATAAAACGAAATCTATCTTTGCCTCCTCGATCGAAGCTTTGGCACTTAAAAGTCTTAAACGGCTGTGCTTTTGGTTATTGATCTAAGTTGCAACAAAGTGATTTTTGAAAGTGACTTTCTTTTACTAGTCTCTTGCATTCAAAAAGGTCAACCTGATCTTGGAGACTAGAGGTGTAGAAACATCATCGAAGATATCATTAGTTTTGTGGCTTCTAAAGCTGAGTTTTCAATAGCCTTTGTTCCAAACAAAGGTAATTATGCCGCCAACTTCATTGCAACTATTGCTCTAAAGGTTGTGAGTCTAATAGAAGGATGTCATCACCATCACTTTCTTTGTCCCGTCTACTAACTAAGGATGCCATGACTGTTAAATCACCTTCAATTGTTTGCGAGCCCTCAACATCAGAGATTGAAGCTGACTGATGTTGTTGTTTTCCTTCTTGTTATGTTGTTTTTGTTTTTTGCTATTTGCTGTCTTTTCTGCACTATGAATCTTGTTCTCTAGACTTTTATTCTGATTTTGAAATGGCATGCTAGCTTTTTGCAACCAAAAAAAAAATTGCTAGATATGATTATTTGATTGAATTAAATTTAAGCATTATCAAGCCCAATTATCAATATAAAATAACTATAATCAAAAGTGCTTATATAAATTGAGCTTTTTGAACTTCCCATTAAGATCCTATATTTTTTAGAACTAGGCCTAGAAAAATAGAAATATTTGCCAAAAAAATTAGGCTTGGCCCTTAAAGATATGTTAGTACTCGGACTACTCCAGTTAAGCAATTGTTTTAAGAACCAAACTAGTTGGACTATCGACTAAAACTATTAATGACTTGATTTGGATAAAAAAATCATTTTCATGGTTGATTTGAATTGAACTACAATTAAACTATTGTTGAATTGAAAATCAGAGTTAAGGAAGAAATTAGATTGATTTTTAAAAAATTGGATAAGTTTAAACTTAATATAAGAAAAGGCTTAAAAATAAAAAATAAAAATTAGACCCTACCAAAAACAAACTTCATTATTATAAAAAAAAAATCATTTTTTCACCCTCACCTATATATGGCATGAGACCATTTTTTTTTTTTACAAAAAGATGAGCCCATTTTTCATGAAAGATATTGACACTTATATGTGCAATTATAAATATGTTTGAGTGCCTGATTTAACCAAAGTCTACATATATTTTGACACATAAAATTATAATTTATAATGTTGTAGGATTATCACAATGTTGTGTTGTTTTATTAACAATTAAACATCTTGTGAATTTATTCCTTATATATATATATATATATATATATTAAATAAACATTTAATATTATGTTTTATTAAATTTTTATGTAATTATTACGGTATTAGTTTGATTGTGGATCTAACCTGTTGGAGCATAAAATCAAGAGTCATTGACCTTTTCAGTTTAACATGTTATCCAGATTTTAAAACATTGGTTTAGGCTTTGTATTTTTTTTTTCTTTTTTAAGTATGTGTGTCGCTGAAATTATTCAAAATTATTTTATTCAAATTGTTAATATCGTAAAATAGGATGGTTGAAATTTTTTGATTTATTTCAATTTTTTTTAGCTTAATATATGAAAACAAAACAATTTGTTTAATTGTATGTTGTCAATAACAACCAAGCTTAAAAAAACGCAATTAATTTAAGATACGAGTTCTTATAAGATTTGGGCTTTTATGACTAGCCCAGCCCATGTTACATACAACAACGAAAAAAAACAAAGGAATTCCATTTGAAAGGGTACCATCTTGGCTTGATGTGAAACTAGATTTATGCCTCGTGTTGATGATAAAAATAAATATAAATATTAAAAAAATATTTTAATATTTTAAAAGTAAGATATATTATCTTTTATTTTATTTTATGTTAATTATAAATATTTTTTATTTTTAAAATTTATATGAATCCCTTTTAAAATCATAGTTAAGAATTACAAAAATATAAATATATCTTCTATTTTTAAGTTTTTATTTTTACTCATTTAATCATTAACTGATAGTTACTATTATTGATATATTCTATTAAATTTTTATTTATATTTTAAATTTATTAATCATACAAACTAATTTATTTAGTGTTTTTCAAAAAATTAAATGCATATTCCATCATTTAAAAAATATAAAATATTTTTAATTAAATTTTAATTTAAATAAAGTGATTACTTGTCTTCAAAATTAAGTGTTTCAGTTTCACTCTAAAATAAATATAAAATAATTTATTTATTATTGGCATTTTTTAAAAAAAAAAAGTTATTGGTTACATCTTTAAACACTAAAAATACTTTATATTTTTAACATCCAACTCCTAAAAAATAACCTCTTAAAAAATGCCTCATTTTTTAATGAAGAAAGTAATAATAATATTTTAAACACGTATCTACCAAAAAAATTAATGAAATAAGTGATAAATTAATCAATATAATTCATGTTTATGTTTATTTAAATTTTATAATCTTGATTAATGAGACTAAAGTGTAAGTTTTAAAAATAAAAAAAGTCTTTATAATTCTAAGAAAATAAAAGGAATGATAATGTATTTTACTCAATAATTTATTAATTTGTGTAAATTAAAATCTAAAGAGTATTTTATTTTAAAATATTTTATGTTCATACATATTAAAAATATAAATAATAACTTATTTTATTTTAGAGTGTATTATCTCATGTAGGTTAAAATTTAAAGTTTTCTTAAGATATCCCCATAATTGACAAGTATGAGACTAAACTTTTAATAGGATAATACTTACAAGAAATGGCTTCTATTTATGTGCTACTCTTATACATATTAAAAAGTATCATTATTTTTTAAAATTTCTCACATTTTGCAATTTAAAATATAATCTAGCTTATTCATTTTCAAAATATGTTGCCCATACATTGCCTTAAAGAAAATAAAAAATATGCTATAACAAAGTGTACTACAATTTATGTGATAACATTATTTGTAAATCATAATTATAATGGTTATAAATCAAGCAAATAATATAATCCATATTTTATCATCATTTGTCAATCATACATATTAACACTGCAAGTAATATAATGATTATAAAGAAAAGATTAGGTGTATAGTGGAAGATAAATTTATTAACATTATATAATTAATTTGTAGCTCATAATTTTTGTTGCTTAAACTTGAGGCACATAACTACATTAATATTTTTCATGAGTGTTCAAATCATAATTAACTTTTACATATAAATAATAGAATAATAGATTTTTATTCCTCATGCATTTGAAGAATATAAACAAAAACTTGTTTTATATATACTCACACAAACTATTTTAATTTGTGACCTTGTGTTAATAATAAATACTCTCTTCGATTAAAAATATAAGATATTTTTAATTAAATTTTAACTTTAATAAAGTGGTTACTTGTCTTCAAACTAATCTCATTTTTTTTCATATTTATCTTTATTTAATAGGGTGTTTCACCCTAAAATAAATATAAAATGCTTTATTCAATAGAGGCACTTTTAAAAAAAGGTAATAATTACACTTTAAAAAATTAAAAATTAATTATATTTTTTAACATTCAATCTCTCGAAAAATACCTCATACTTTTTAATGGAATGAGTATATAAAAAATTCTTTGTATATCCATCACATATTATTTTACTAAAAATCTTATATTCATTGTTAATTGTTAGTATAAAATTCTATATGATCTCTCAAAATATAAAAATCTTATTATTTTACACCTTATTTAAATTTTTAAAATTTATAAATGTAAACCCTACTCATATTTTTTAATGGTAGGTCCTACACACCACTTTTTAAACCATACTACTTCAATTTTAAAAAAATTAACTTTATTAAAATATCATATTCCCTCCATTACCTTTAGAGCTGTAACATCCTTAATTTTAAACTGAAATATTTAAGCCTGATTAGACTAATTAAGTTTATTAGAAAAACATGTGGCTAGAAAGACTTAGTGGAAATGTTTGGTTACCTCTCTATCCCTAAACACAAATTCGAAGGAAGTAGAATCACCCGGAAATGAAAAGAGCAAGAGAAATTAAAGGGTAAGGTTCTGTGCCACGCATCGCAGCTTGTAGATCAGGCCACCATGGCGCCTGTGTGTTAACACGCCTGAGGAGGCCCTTTTTAAGCTATGTGCCACAACGCATTATGGCTCCGTCACAACGCATGGTCACTTTTTACTAAAATACGATCGCAACATAAAGCAGAAGAAGAGAGAAAAAGAGTGTGAAGGAGCAACTGAAGAGCTATGCTAAGGCTTGAGAGATTCGAAGTTTTAAAGTGATTTGAAGTCTTCAAACACTAAAAGT